ACCCCCAGGTCCTTCTCCGCCAGGCAGCTCTCCAGCCACTCTTCCCCGAGCCTATAGCGATGCTTGGGGTTTTTATACCCCAAGTGAAGGACTCTGCACTTGGCCTTATTAAAGCTCATGCCATTGGCCTCAGCCCAACGATCCAGTCTGTTCAAATCCCTCTGAAGGGCCTCCCTACCCTCGAGCAGATCGACACAGCCTCCCAGATTGGTGTCGTCCGCAAACTTACTGAGGGTGCATTCAATCACCTCATCCAGGTCATTGATAAAGATGTTAAACAGAACTGGACCCAGCACTGAGCCCTGGGGAACCCCACTGGTGACCGGCCTCCAGCCGGATTTAGCCCCATTTACCACCACTCTTTGGGCCCGGCCATCCAGCCAGTTTTTAACCCAAAGGAGGGTGTGCCTATCCAGGCCAGCAGTTACCAGTTTCTCAATCAGAACATTATGAGAAACTGTATCAAAGGCTTTACTGAGGTCAAGGAAAACTACATCCACAGCCCTTCCCTCGTGACTCTTCCTTCCCTAGACACCAAACATAAGCTAATGCCTTAATTTAAGGGTCTCCACGGCTCATATCCTCCTGCCAATCACCTTTCACTCAGGAAGGACCCCTCATACCACTTTGGACTGTCTGGTTCTTGCAATTTCAAACAAATACATTTTGTATCTACTCTTACGCTGATCCTTATATTTGAGAGGACCTGTCCATACACATTCACAAACTGATTTAATTACTGGCCATGGGTCCTTCTTAAACATCCTTCTTCAAGTTGATGCCTACAAAGACATTCCCAACACTCCGATAAGTTAGGTTGCTGCTACGCTTGGAACTACCGTCATGCTGACAAAAAAATGTCTTACTGTCACCTTGACCTCCCCAGCCTGTCCAAGTTCACCATTTTGTCACTGTCTTAGAGTGTAAGTTCTTTTTTACAAAGATGACCTGCGAAGTTCAGTGTGATTGAATACTGAATGAAAACTGAGGTTCTCAAGAGCTACAAGATTCCAAGTTGTAGCAATAAATTCTTTATCTGGTGTTTATGAGCTCGTAATGGTGATTTTATTTTTTGGCTCATGTAACATGTCGCCTTTTGAATTCAAAGGCAGTTTTCACACACAATTGGTAGAATTTCCCAGGCCAAAGGAAACTGGCTCTCTTTTCCTCTCTGTCCTAGTTGTATCTGCTCACAATCAGAGGCTATCAATGTTCTGCAAAATTGCAAATCAGATCCATCAAGGCCAACAGAAATACTTCTATTGATATAACTGCAAAGAGGAAAAGTATCCAAGTTTCCACTTCTTTTCTGAGCACGTACCTGAAACTTCATTTTCTGTGCTTTTTCTTTAAATATGTTTGTATTTATGCCAAAATTCTTCAGAAAATCTTTATAATCCATCATATTATAGTCTGTAACACAGTAATGGTTCCACAGCCTAGAGAAAAAGAGACATTTTTTAGAGAACACAGCTATTCTAGAGCATACTTGTAGTGAATTGAAGAAATAGGAGATTTATGAAATCTTTAGAAACACAATATGTAAAATATTGTTAAAAAAAAAAGTGAATTACTTTTTTCCTATCTTCCCACTACATTTTTCTCTGGTCTCTTTTCTCTGCCTCAGATTGTCTATAGTATATGAGTTGTCTGCATAATATTCAAATCCTACATACAGTGCCATTTCCTTGGTCATCTACATAAACATGAATTTTAATATATTTACACAAATACTTTTATTTTCTAATAATATAAGAATATTAAGATATTCTTAAACAAATTCTAGTGTAACTTATAGTAAGTCATACCAAAACTCTGTAACAAGTTGTCTGGATTTTATAGCAGGCTGGAAAATTTGCAGCAGCTTCATCTGGATTAAATGGGAACCTCACTTTGCCATTAGAACTCATTTCCACATAGTGTTAAATTCTGTAGCTTGGAAATTAATCTTTGATTTCAAGCGTTTACTTTCTAGATATTTCCCCTGATTGGCAGTGAAGTTGTTAATACTGTAAACACTTGCTATCTTCAGATTGTATCCAAATGCTTGGAAAAATGAGCAGTTTTCACCTTTCAGAACAACAGTTTGTTAGAGAATCCAGGACCAGTTTCTCACAAGTTACTGTGAGATTTATCTCCAGTCCCCTCCAGAAATCACTGCTGTGACTCATGCTCATGTCAAGCTCACAACTCAGGAAGATGTAATTTTTAAAATGAAAATTAAAATTCTGTTTCATAAAGAGGATCCATAAAGTCTAAAGTTAAAGCAGTACCATTAGAACGTCTTGTGTATCACAGGCAACTAATTTTGTTTCAACTTCCTCTGCAGTTAGCCCCATAATTATTCTCTAAATACAATAAAACTTGTGTTTGATTAAAGCATGTGTGATAAAAATGCTTCTAGTTAGTCCTGATGAATTTATTCCAAGGACTAATAACAGAAGACTTGATTGCCTTATTTTTTCATTTGAATTTGTCTATCTGGTGAAGATAGTGAAGATACAACACCATATGATGTAGTCACCTCTTAAATTCCTTTTTCAAAGGCTAAACAGATTGTCTGCTAGCATTAAGCTCTAAAGCATCCACACCATCCCTCGAATCATGATTGTGCCTTTTTTTTTTTTTTTTTCACAACTTTCCAACATCCTGGGAATGAGAGCACCTGATGTGAAGCTGTGTTCTGGTTTTGACCTTGACAATATATGAAAATAAAAGTCCTATTTCTGCTCAGTACTTTTTCAAGACGCCTTTGGGACATTAACCCTTTCAGAGAGCCTCATAGAAGAAGCCAAGATCTTATAAAAAAAAAAAAAAGATAAATATCGCCCATTTATAATCCATTACTTGCACCAACATGGGAGATGAAAGGGGAAAATTCCACTTGAAATTTATGAAACCATTTAAGTGATAAAAAGAAGAGAACATGGTTAGCCATTTGGCAAATTCTGCTTGAGACAAGAAAAGAGAGCTGCACTGTAACATACCCTGTTTTCCTCTCTGTTCTTTGGGTTGTAGGGCAAAGTGTAAAGGTATGATTAGCTGCTAAGATTATCATAAATCCATCACTTTTGTGGAGTACTGAAAGACGGGAATTCCCAATCACAATATTAAATTTACTTAAACTTGGGAAGTCATTGACTTGCCTCTTGCCTCAGTTTCCCGTTTGTAACAATCGAATTATAATCCTGCCCAACCCATGGGACTATCCTGGTTATCCCAATAAACCATACACTTGGTTTTGATGCATATAAGCCACGGATATATGCATAATTCATAAAGGACTTCACTTCTTTTCCCCAGCAATTCCCCCACATCCTATTTCCCCTCGAGGCTTCTCTTTGTGTCTTACTAGAGGGTATGGATTATCTATGAATCTGTTTTCAAGGAAGTTATAAAGGGATTAATATTATGTTATCTGTGAGTTGTACATATGGAAATACAGAATGAATTTACAGACAGTACTCTGACATATGTGAGGTGCGGTAGAAACATAATAAAATGGATAGATTCGGTTCCATTTTGAATAAACTTTTCAAGCATACATTCAAAATAAAAGGAATACTTCAAAAACATTTGTATGATTGGATTATTTGAGGATTGACAGTTCTATTTTATGAAAACATGAGAAAAATCAGGTCAACAGTAAATCTCAGCATCAGGAATGATATTTTGGCACATTTTAGGAGTGTCTGAAATTCTCCCTTGTTTACAGCTCAGTTTTTGATCTACTAAAAAACCCTAGCCTACAACAAAAAATAGATACATACAAAAATTACCATAGCCTTACTACAGAACAGGAACACTCTTCAGTCATTTTCCTACATTAGTGACAGTTTTCAGCCACCCATGGGGTACTCTGTTTTCTGTCTCATGAAAACAGTTGCGTTCCTTCCCCTAGGAACTTTCTATTGTTACTCTCAGGCAATTTCTGCTGTTTTGAACAAAACGGCTTATTATGGATCTGCATATATCAAAGCTGGAAAGCCAATCTCATTTAATAAACAAATAGAAACAGAGAACTAATTACTGGTTCAAAATGGCACTTTTACCCTCTCTTCCTTACACTCCAGCTTCTTGCACAGGATGCCCATGAATAGGTAAGGAACACCATCACGCTTCGCACACCATTAACTACATCCTTACAGAAGGGTAGGATACAATCTGGACATCTCCACATGGAGATACAATCTCCATGAATGGAGATTGAGTTGGTCTTTGCAGAAGCTGTTAAAATTGGGGCAGAGCTAGTTTTCATGATAAAAATCAATAGGAGACTTGCTATTGCCCTCATCTGGGCATGTGAAGAGAACACAAATAATGTAGCTTCATTCTTGATTGATCTATGTTAATATGCCGTAAAAACAAATTATTGGTCCTAATCATCACAATTACTAGTTTGCTTTCATAAATTTATTGACCAAGGAATGTATTTCCAAAGGCTAACTTTAAACATGGACAGCAGTCTCTTCCATTCTTCTCTATAGAGGGAAGAAGGAAAACAAGTACTGCCGTAGAGTGATTCAGAAATCTTAAATTACAGTCCTCATCTGCTTGCTCTCTGGATGTGCTAATATCTTTTCACTTACTAGAAAGAGCAACAAGCCTCGGGTGTTTTGAGTTAGCCTTTGGACTGCCTTGCCTTTTCTGTCATCAAATGATTTCCCTACTATTTCCATGACTTCCCTACTCATTTCTGACCTCTCTATTTATTTCCTTATTTATATAAACTAAACCGATTCATAGGTTATCATCTGAAAAATAAATTCCAGTACCTGCTTACATTCTATACCTGCTTAAATTTGATCACTGTTTCTTCTCTACACCTAAGATGGAAGGACTGGATTGAAACTGGTTGAAAACAAAGAAAATATATTCATTACATTCAAAGGGCACTGGATCAGATCCTCTCTAGAGCCCTGTTCTTGCAAACACACGGTCTTTCAGAGCACACAGATTCCAACTATATTAATTATACTACTGCTAGTTTTGGCTTTGATAGGCTGGAGCATCTGGCCATGTACAGCCACAATATTCTTGATGGAATTGCCATGAATATAGCTGGACTACCCAGATCCACAACGGGAGATCTTTGCACAAGTTTTGCTTGAAAGCTAGAAGGCTAGCACATATCTCAGTGCTGATAAGACTTGCACAAACGAGCTTCTAAGAATTTATGGATCTTGAAAGAAAGATGGGGACAGACCTTTTAGCAGGGCCTGTTGTGATAGGACAAGGGGTAACGGTTTTAAACTAAAACATGGTATATTTAGATTATATATAAGAAAGAAATTTCTTACAATGAGGGTGGTGAAACGCTGGGACAAGTTGCCCAGAGAAGTAGTAAATGCCCCATTCGTGGAAACATTCAAGGTCAGGTTGGACAGGGCTCTGAGCATGTCCCTGATGAAGATGTCCTTGCTCATCACAGGAGGGTTGGACTAGATGACCTTTAAAGGTCCTTTCCAATACAAATCATTCTATGATTCTAAGCACAAGAAAGCTAAGTATTGTTCTATACGCTTTAAAGTCTGGGTTTACTTTTAATTTCAGTATATATTCCTTAAGCAACACTTCATCCAAAATTATTTTTTTAGCTAGTAATTTTCAAAAACTTGAAGCTGACAATGTACATTTAATAAGCATAGAAACGGTTTCTGGTTTCCTAAGTATCAAAATATGCTAATTGTAAGTACAACTATTCATTATTTTCCTACTTTCTATTTTTACACACATACGAATACCTCCTAATTGTTAAAATTGAAAAACAAACAAATGTACCCATTATACTTTTTATGAATCCAGCCCATTGTTCAAGGAAAAGAAATCATTCTTTACACAAAGATTTGCTCTGAAATTGCTGCCAAAGAAAATAACCTTGAGTTATTTGCTGCATAACTGCCATATGAGTACATTAAAGGTGCCTAGGGACAGCTTCGTCTTGAGCATGTGACTTTTAAGAAAAAGCTTTTAAGTTCAATATTTAAAAATTACTGCCGTATCCTTTTTCTTTCTCTGATTTTTAAATTAAATTCAGTTATCACATATAGGAAGAAGTCCGATGTTTTTTGTTTCTATGTTTTCAGTCATCTGTCTAATAATGAAGATCTGTATTGCCTGGCTGCAATGAGTTCAGGATGTCATTGGGATGTTAAGGAAATAGGTACGTGTGTATTTCATGGATGGTTTTTCTGACAAAACTGAAGAATGTAGCCCTGATATGAATCCCAAATAACCTTCCTGACCATTAAGGCTAGATGATCAAGACTGCCCGACTGTGAAAGCCTAAAAGCTGAAGTCCTGGGGTCGGGTCTTAAGGGGAGTTATATTTTTCACATAATCAAATAAATCTTTAGATGGGAGGTCCATCCAAAAAGGGTTTACTTCTTCCTAGCAGAGTCTGAGTTTCAGAACTGTTTTTTTTCGGATAATTTTTAATATCTTTTTGGTGAGGTAATACAATTGCTCTGTCTTTCTGGAGTGGGGCTGGCCTATCTGAAAGAAACGCTGTAAGCGCAAGCAGGGCTTTTCTGGCAGAGTCTGTGGATCTAAAACACATCTCTGAAAATGAATATTTTCCCCTGACTACATAGTAAGTGCCCCCAGCCCAAAAGATATGTATGGACAGCGCTTTATGTCAGGATCTTGACAGGAAAAGCCTTCTTAATAATTACAGGACTGGTCCAAAGTCCATTAGAGTTAATTGAGAGACTCGACACTGTATCCCAGAACAACCATAACAGGATTAAGGGAAAAAAATATTTGTTAATCAATCCAAGGTAAATATTCAGCAGCCTCTGGCTGGAATCAGAAACAGCTGCAGAGTCCAAAAGCAGAAATCAATTCAGGAGACCACACTGTGAAGGGACAGCAGGAGGAAAAGTGGCAGCAGAACTCTGTCCAAAGAACAATATTGAGTTGTGGGGTTTTTTTCAAGGTTAATGCAGAAAGAAGCATTTCAAGTGGACTATATTTACTGTAATTCAAAACTAAAAACCTAAAGGACTGCAGGAGCCCAGGATCTAACAAATAAGACACATTTTCTCTAAAAGTCACAGCCACAGGTCCATGCTATGAAAGATATACAGTCCAGAGAAATGTGATAGACAATCGTATCATATCAACTAGCCTAGCAGCTAGTTGAGCATCCAGTGACCTAGAACATCGCTGGACCCATAGCTTTGAAGCAGAGGCTCTTTAGATATACAGAAACATCATCAGGAACCTCAAAAACAGAAGAAAAATTCTTTCTGATGAAATCAACATTTTAGACTGCTGGGTTTGGAATACGACACACCAATTATCTGCCTGAGGAAGGGAGATGAGTGGGAAGAATGGGGGACAGATACATCTGAACAGTCTAAAAAGACCGTTAGCATTTACTTAGCCTGCCTGCTTATCTGCCCTCAACATGCTAAAAAAAACCACCTAGAAGCTCAGGGATTATTGATTTTTGTGAAGGATGGATGGTGATTTTGAGAATCTACCTAGAAGCTCAGGGATTATTGATTTTTGTGGATGGATGGTGATTTTGAGAATCCAACTATTCTGTGGGAGACCCATTTTGGTTAGATTTTTTTGCCTTTCACTTTGGATTTTTCCAGTTTCTCAGCCATAATGACTACCATCAGCAGTGCAGATTTTTGGAGCAGTCAAGTGACTGATTAAGGTTCCCGACATGCAAAAAAAAAGTATTGTACTTGTCCCATTTATTAGGAATTCAGAGAGACATGGATATAGTTGAAATAGCTGAGGACATTTAGATTCAAATTTCTTGGGTTGCCCATGCCTCTCCAACCACCTACGACATAGACAAACCCAGTCAGTATGACCTAAGTCACACACTTAGGCAATGTTCTCTTAGGGCATGATGATTACAGGGCATATTGCTTTTGTACATTAATAAATGTGCAGACAGAGGAGCAGAGTACACTCAGCAGTTTTATGTTGTCCTTGAAATTTAACTGGATCAGTGCAAAATTACCAGCACAGAAGTGAATTTGACCCATAATTTCAACCACACTTTTTCCTTAAACATATTATTAACATTAATTATCTTGCAAATTGTACTTTGAGAAGAGAATACACTTTCAGTCACTTTAAGGTTCCTCCATAATAAGTTCAGGTATAACCTGGGTATATTTAAACATTCTCAAATTTAATAGGCTTCTTCAAAAGTCATTTGTGTGATATTCTATCAGTAAGAAAATAAAATAAATGTTACATTTTATCTCTCTATTATTTCTGATATTCTGTGGTTTCATACAGAGGTGACTTGGTACCATTATTTTTATTTGTTAAGCTTAAGAAGTTTTTCTGATGAAACTTCATCATTTTAGAGCTTTAAACTCCCAAAATGAAAATTTGTGTTCTTTTTTATTATTCAGCACTTATGAGACATAGTAACATTTTTATAGATTTATTACCTTTCAGATTCCAATGCCAAACACAAGGTTTATTGTCAAATAAAGCATCATTTTGGTTTTTTGATTGCCTGCTTTAGAACAGTATTGCTTCTGTTCTATAATTGCCTGTACCAAATTATTTAATTGGTTTTGTTGATATCTAATTCTGGAAAGTATCCCAACCAGAAAAAATATATAAAGTGAAATAGTGTAGCCAGGCAGTATGAACTGACAGGAATTATTTTGGAAGTTGTTCACAATGAAAAAAATATCCAAATAAAATAAGATAAACAAAAATCCTCAAGCAGTAAAGTACCATCCTAATTTGCTTTCTTTTCTTTTAGGTCCCTATCCAGCAAATAGTATCTCTAGTGGTATTTCCTGATGGATTTCATACACTCCAAAATCCACAGAAAGTCATTCAAAATCATAAGACGCTAAACATTCTTCGAAAACAGAGCATGTAGAATCATAGAATAGTTTGGTTTGGAAGAGACCTTTAAGCATCATCCAGCCCAACTCCCCTGCAATGAGCAGGGACATCTTCAACTAGATCAGGTTGCTCAGAGCCCTGTCCAACCTGACCTTGAATGTTTCCACGAATGGGGCATCTACCACCTCTCTGGGCAACCTGTTCCAGCATTTCACCACCCTCATTGTAAAAAATTTCTTTCTTATATATAATCTAAATCTACCATGTTTTAGTTTAAAACCATTACCCGCTTTGTCCTATCACAACAGGCCCTGCTAAAAGGCCTGTCCCCATCTTGTCCTATCACAACAGGCCCTGCTAAAAGGCCCGTCCCCATCTGTCTCCTGTGAAGACAGGCTGAGAGAGTTGGGGTTGTTCAGCCTGGAAAAGAGAAGGCTCCAGGGAGATCTTAGAGCAGTTTTCCAGTCACTGAAGGGGGCCTACAATAAAGCTGGAGAAGGACTTTTTACACTAAATCACAATTTCACAGCAACCCATCAAAGGAAATACCAAGGAAGTATTACACATGCTCTTTGGATATGTACTTTCCTACCCCATCATGTTTGGACCATCCTTCTTCCTGCAACCCCTACTGCAGTCAAACCTCCAGCTCCTTCCCATCCATCCTCATATCCCTGCTCTGAGCAAGCAGGCTCTGCTACAGTTTCTGCCAGTACAAACTAGTAGGGGCACTGGATCCATCATAGCTGAAGCACATATGGACTCCCAATATTGATACTCTTCCATTGAAGAGCAGAGCAATCTAGTTTCCAAATGTTATGCAAACACTAATCAAGGTTCGCATTGTACCTCTGAGGTAAGCAAGTATTATTCTCTTATGTAGCTGTGCAAACTACAGCCCTAAAAGACTGTTTCTTCTGAGGTTCCTGGTGAACCAACTGCCAGGCCAAGATGACTAGGTCACTGAATCAAGCCACTTCTTGCTTTCTGGCTTCACCTTACTCAGAGGCAGCCTCTGAGTTTCCGTTTCGCTGTATCACTTCACATGAAAACTGTGCTAAGGAAAGAGGAAGCAGATCATATTATCCATAATAAAACATTTCCCTGTTCACCACCTCAAGCTGCCCAGGATGTAAGATGTGCCATGGTACCATTTTATTTCAAGTAACAGTGTTCCTCTACCCCATGGGCAAAAAACCAGTCATATTGCAAGAATTCAGCAAAAACATGAAACAGCACTGATAAGACCTGTTGCCTTTTTCAAAGGCAAGATTTTCACTAGTCACCTGGTTATTAGGATTTTTTTTCCAGTGAGAGGCAATGGCTCTTGGCTTTCTCCACTCACTGGTCTCAGCAGGAGTGGGGAGCCACTTTCTTGTTCAGAAGCCAACAATTTCAAATCAGCTATGAATGGGAGGGGATCCTGGCTCCTATAGGTGTGTCCTGCACACACACTTTGTCCTCTTGATACATTGGTTCTGCTGCATAAGATCTATATCCTATGTCAGCCAAAGAAACTGAAGAGGTCAAGCAACAGACTGTCCTAGCACCTGCTATAAGCAGAGTAAGGCAATCCTTTTCTCTTTTCACTACTTATTCCTCTGGAAGAGCCTCTGAGGCTCTCACTGTCTCTTCTGTTCGAGTTTCAGAATGGAGCAGGCACCAGCATCTCCATGCAGACTCTTCAACCCTGTCTCAGGCCTGAGGCCAAGAACGTCCACCCCCGATGTCATTCTGTGAGTCTGCAGACAAGAGGAGTCCCACATTGTCCCTCAGGTATCTTAAACCCCAAATCAAGCTGATTGGGATGATTTCTGATGCAGGACTCATCCATTTGGAATGAATTACCAACATATTTATCCTTGCATACTATTTCATCCATTTAGTCAGAGAAAGGCTGAAGGCTGCAACTTGCATACAGAAGATAAACTGGCAAATTAGCCTGCTGCAAGCAGCTCCCAGCCACTATCATTCAGAAGATCACAAAGGCCCCATCATTTATTGTTATTATTACTTCCACAGAAAAATCACGGCTGTTTCTTTACTTGCTTTTCAAATGCTGAGTCCTTCATCCTAAAACAGGTGGTCTCAAGAATTTGTCTTAGCGTGTGCCTCTGTATCCATCTGGCACAGGTATAGTCAAAAAGTCTGCAGCACCTGACAATGTTTTCACATTCTTTGCAATCTACAAATTACAGGTGATTTCAACGAACAAGAAACCAATACTGACTCAACTGACGCAATTGCAAGCACGGGAAAGCTTTGCTAACATATAATACAAAATGCCATTTTATACCTATTTTGGTAATACAGGACAACCTTCCCTGGCACAGTAGAAAATGTTACAATAACACTCCATGAGAAATGAGTATTTTGCATTTACTCAATGTCTAAGGCAATTTCCTCTGCAAATGGCACTAGTAAACTTCAAAACTCTTTTAAGCAAAGTAATGAATTTCAGATACAACTCATATTTTAAAGAGTAGATACAGGACGATCTTCCTTCAATGACTGAAACCTAGAGATTTGCTGGAAACTAAATATCAGAGATCAAGGCAGGTATACATTTCATAAGTGTCGGTGAACTCCAGGATATCAGTGAATTATTTGTTCTACATATACAAAAGCATTCGTTATTTCACTTCACTTGGAAAATTACCAAAATGAAGATTTAAGGATTAAAAGAAAATGTACACATGGGACAAACTGACAGCTATATTAACATTCTAGCAATTGCAACTGTCTTCTCCAAATCTGTCCAAAATCTCAGAAACCTGGACCTTAAAGTAAGCTTACAAACTGAAAACTGACAATAAAAGTAGTACTGAAGGCTTCCATGCTTACTCTGTTACATGTTGAACTGTTCAGCTTACAAAAATAAAGCCCTGTTTAAAAATATCGCTCTTTTTAACTGCTATTTTTGCAAATGCAACTGGGGAATTGAGTCAGGCTGTGTTCTTTCTGACTCACATAACAGCAGTAGTAATAAAGATTCTGCCACTGCTCCTTACTCACTCATTCAAATGCAGCTGCAGAACTAAATCCTGCTCGGTTGCATATGCTCTGCGGTGCTACCAGGAGTAACAAGGAGGAAAGTACCTGGAGGGAATCCTGATCATAGTGAAGTCAGTACTTCAATGGAGCCAAGGTTTCACATCTTGTTTGTTTTCATCAAAAAAGTCAAGATTCCAAGTCTGGTACTCTCACAAACGCAGAATAGGCTTATTTGTGGCTATAACCAACCACTGATGAAAGCAAAGGTTGCCCAAAGTAAGTAGCTGCAAATCAGGCAGATTCGACTACTCCTTGGCAACTCTGCCTGGCAAAAAAGGGTGGAAGAGGATAACGCTTTTTATCTGGCTAAAGATGTGAAGAAGGAAAAACAAGTTTTATTTGTTAAAAAAAGTATTTTCCTATAGTGATATATATAAAACAATACAGGAAATTCAAATCCAAAGAAAAGATTAGACCTCACCAGAGTGGGCTAGAATTTCTCTTCCTTGCCATGATTGGCAAAACATTTCCACCACAGCTCCAAGCTTTTAATGGAGAAAGAAATGCAGCAATCTTGATGAATTTCTTCCAGTAATCAAATTTAACCGAAATGTATTATTTAATGAGTGAAACACAGGTTTGGATACTGTGGTGCCTGGCACCAGTGGTACATTTTTCTGCCAGCTTGATACTACCGTTTGTCCTTACGGGTTAGATAAGCTACGTACCAATCAGTTTATGCTATCAGAATCTTTCAGCAGAGACACTAGAAGCCATGTTCCTGTTTGCCCTCGGAGTATCAGTGATATCACAGCACTTTTAGCAACCACAGGGCCTTGCCATAGTGTCTTTGGCATAACGCACTCTGTTGTCGCTGGCACATGCCAGCTGGCTGCTGCTCCCCACCCCAGCAGTGACTGCATTTCAGCAGCATTTACGCATGTAAAGCACTTGGAGATCCCTTGGGAAGAAGGAAGGCAATGAATATTTTAAATACTTTCTTATACTTCAGAAGCACAAAGGATTTCCATCAAAAACGCATCCTCTACAGACATCGCAACAAGAGGAAGTTCCAGACACTCCTTTATGCTGACAGTGGCTTAATGTGAGGTGATTTCCTGCCACAAATCACTGAAGTTCGTTTTGCTACCCACACAAGTACTGCCAATCACTGTACATCAAGGCATTGTCCTCAGCAACTGCGCGTCCCACGGATCTGGGCTTGTAAGGTGCCACCTGCATCATACGTTGCTTCCCACTCCCAGCCTTTATGGAACTTGCTTTGGTGGCTCAGGGCATTTGGCAAAAGGGTGGGAAGGAGATCTGGAAAGGGGCTTTCCTATGCATTCCCATTACCTGAAACTCCTGAATTCTGCCTACAATGACGTATAGCTTCTTTCTGATGTTGAATGAGTCTGAAAGGTTTTAGGAAATCTCTGAGACAAACCAACCCCTAGCATGCTAGTTAAGAGCAGAATTGTGCTTTGCAGAGAAAGCAGCTGGCTGGCTGGCTGGAGAGGCAGAGAAGTTCTGCACAGATGCTCTACCATGGCTTGCCTATCTAGAGGGATGCGCATGGAAGAGACTGGGACAGACTCGGTGTTTCTTCTGCAGGAAACAAAAGCTGCTTGCCCTTGACATGAGAATCAGAAGCAAAATCTGCAAAATCTGTGTTCAAACTTACAGTTGCTGCCCCTCATTAGAGCCGTACAGTCACCCTAATAAACAACATATGGGAAATCTGGGGTTATTATTTGCCAAGAAAGCAAAAATAGCAAAATTTTAATGGCAGCATTAAGAAATATGCTGCAAGGAATAAGTTGGAGACAGAGTGGTAAAACATGCTACTTTCTTCCATTTTTGTGAAAATGTGTCAAAAATGCATAAATTAGTAAAGAAAAACCCATACTACAACACCTGGCACTCTCTCTGGCAAAGGGACTTGAGCTCAGATGTGCTTTGAAAGCAAACCCTGCCACACAGGACAGCTTGGAAGCTTACCACCCTGCTAACCATCCCTTAGGGAACCATGCATCAGATCCACGGTCTCCAGAACATCCTCCTCGAGAGTGGAGGAGGTGCACATGAGGGAACCTGGCCAGGGCAGGAGAAGGAAGACCTTCAGTCACTCTTCTTACAAGCTGTCTCAGGACAGTCTGACAGCAGTCTGTAGCAGTGTCTCCGTCTGACCGTCCCCTTTCCCTTTGGCCAGCACACCCATGCAGAGATGTACACTTAGATATCCTGCCCTTCAAGGCAGCCTGCTGTAACAGGTACCAGGCAAAGAAATGGGACGATGTGGAAGCTTCTAGAGGTATGGTTATATACCTTACTGCCAAATGGAAGATTTCAATCTGCAAAGATCTATCAATCTAGCATATTACATGCAGAGATACACACATCAGATTTTGTTTGGTTTTTTTTAAAAAAAAAAAGAAAGAAAGAAAATAAATGCCTGAAAAATATTCTTCTCTTGCTATAAACACATCAGTGCTCATTTTCCCTATATTCTACTTTGGGCCATTTTGTGTAAAATCTTTAATTAAAGTTTTTCTTTGAAATTGTCATCATCAAACCAGAAGAAAGAAAGTAAAAAACGGAAGGACACAGCTGTGCATATATGAAGTGCTATTCAGTACCAAATGAATTGGAACAAAATAAGTATCGTGACTGTTATGCTCTTAGTTTTGGCTCTGTATTCTCAGTAGCACAGTCTAACTTGTCACTTTATATTGATTCCATCTGTTTACACTCTGCAGAGTATTGGCTTCCTACAGTGAACATTTCCTATTTACCAGCTGGTAAAGATAGGCCCAAACCAGATAGAAAAGAATTAGACTATTTTCAGATCCTCATAAACATAAAATCAAAAATTAATGGGGGAGGGGAGATAAGAATAGAGGGAGTGGAGAAAATATACGAGCCTCATGCTTGTTCATACTGATAGCCCTTTACAACCCATTAGCAATTTTTAGAGACCTTGAAATTTGTGCAATGAGTACACAAATCAATTTTCAGTCCTCTTTGCATTGTGCTTTACATCAACAGCCTTATTGTAAGTGTGAATCAATCCCAGTACTTTAGTAATCTTTAAAGAGAAACAGT